TTGCCAGCTATTTTGGGTGATGGAATAATTGGGTTCCAAGAATGGAAATTCAAGAGTCTTTGTGATAGAGGACTAAGAAGGTGGGAAGGCTCCTCTGGAGTCTTTTATCAGGACCACAGTTGTTACTTGCCTATGACAAAAATAGAATGACGCTAGCGTTGAGTATGGCCAAGTTGATAAGCCATGCTGCCTTTGACTTCTTGACCGTTGGCCAGTTTTACTTGGCAGGTGGAATGTCCCCAAGAGTCGCAGAGCTGTCCTTCAGGGATGGTGAAGATGTTGTCCAGACGTGAATGGAATTAAGATAATAGTATTCCCCAAAGATCTCCATTGTTCCATTTTCATCTTTGGATTTTTATCTTCTAAGACATTCGAAGGGAAATAAGGAGGAGAGATAGATCTATATCTCTTGGGATTCTCTGTCTTCAAAAACTCTCCAGGTTGATGGCTATTCCATACACATCAGACACTTTGGGGATAAAGAAATGTAGGGTTTCTCCTTGTGTACCAACCTGTCAAGTCATTTAAGGCGAGCAAATTCAGGAAAGGAGAGCCTCTTAGATTACTAGAAAGATCTTTCTCACCAGGCTGCATCCAAAAGAGAGTCTTAAAACGCCCACCAAAATAATTCTCCAGCTCAACTTATATCTAGCATAATTAAGGTGGGATTAATCTGAGTTTCTTTCCCTGTATTTCCCCTCCCTCCCTCTCTCCTTCCCTTCCTCCCACCCTCCCTCCCTTCTCCTTGGTCCCAGAAAGAAAAATGACTGGATGGGAAATTTAACAAAAGGAAGGAGGAAGGGAGGAAGGCATAGAAAGAATGGTTAGAAGGAAGGGAGGAGGGAAAGAAACAGGGAAGGAAGAAAAGGAGGGAGAGAGTGAAGGAAAGGGAAGGAAGAAGGGGGGAGGGAGGCAAGAAGGAAGGAAGGAAGGGACTATCCTGAAAGTACTTAATCTAATTTCCTCCTTCCCTCATACTCTCTTTCATGTCTTTCTCCTTCCTTCCTTCCTTCCTTCCTTCCTTCCTTCCTTCCTTCCTTCCTTCCTTCCTTCCTTCCTTCCTCCCTCCCTCCCTTCCCTTCCCTTCCCTTCCCTTCCCCTTCCTTCCTTCCTTCCTTCCTTCCTTCCTTCCTTCCTTCCTTCCTTCCTTCCTTCCTTCCTTTCCTTCCTTCCTTCCTTCCTTCCTTCCTTCCTTCCTTCCTTAGTATGCAGAAAAAGGGCTAACTCAGTCACTTTTCTTAGCAAAAGGAAACATATTTTCATCCGGATATAAATTGGCATGTTTTACCTACCGAAATTATTTCTCCTACCAGCTTTCACAATATTTTAATACAGCGTGTGGCAGTATGCAAATAGATGGGAGTCTAGCAGTAGAAGCGTTGGAACTTACTTTTGTCACACAATCTTTTCCTCCCACACAACCCAGCTCCAACGCAGCTGTTGGAAATCAGCCCCCCCCCCCCAGGAAGATGTATGAAATATCACTGACAGGCCTGTGTGTGTGTGTGTGTGTGTGTGTGTGTGTGTGTGTGTACATACACACATTTGTGTCTTTGAAAATCAACTTTTATGCCTGTGTCGGTCTATTTTTCAGAGAGGTGTTTTTCGGAGCTGCCAAATTGCAGCGCCTGTGATCTCCAGTTAAATTTTGGGAAAATTGGTATCCTGTCACATCTTTGTTAAGCCAGAGTTTTTCCCTTTATTGTTTGGGCTGATTTTCAAAGGAGCAGACTGGCCTGAGCTGATTTAGGAGAAGCAGAGAAGACAAAACAGTCCAATCGCTTTCACCTTTGGGCTCGTCCCGATTACAAACTGACTCAGATTAAATCACAAATGTTGAGTGGATAAGACATCAGCAAGCCAGCCTTTTTGTCTATGGAGATTCTCCTCCACCTAGGTTATAGATGGAGAAGGAGAAGGAGAATGAAGAGGAGGAGGGGGAGGAAGAGGAAGAAGAAGAATGAAGGGAGGAGGAGAATGAAGGGAGGAGGAGGAGAGAAAAGAAGGAGAAGAAGAATGAAGAGGAGGTGAAGGGTGAAGGAGGAAGAGGAGAGGGGGAGGCAGAGGAAGGAGATGAATGAAGGGAGGAGGAGGAGAAGAATGAAGGGAGGAGGAGGTGAAGGATGAAGGAGGAGTAGAATAATGAAGCGAGAAGGAGGAGGAGAGAAAAGGAGAAGAAAAATGAAGGGAGGAGGAGGTGGAGGATGGAGGAGGAGAAGAAGAGGAAGAGGAAGGAGAAGAATGAAGGGAGGAGAAGAATGAAGGGAGGAGGAGATGAAGGAGGAGAAGAAGAGGAGGAAGAAGAATGAAGGCAGAAGTAGGTGAAAGATAAAGAATGGAGGAGGAGGAGGAAGAAGGAAGAGGAAGAGGAGGAGAAGGAGAAGGAGATAGTAATAGTTGTTTGGCTACTCCTGCAAGAAGCTTCATCACGCAACTGATGAAACTTCTTGGATGAGAAACCAAACCTTTTCTTCTTCCTTAAGGAATAAACAGTCCAGTTGCCTTTTGGGGGGGAAAAAGCACCTTTGAGAAAAGCCAGCTTTGGGGTTGCAGAGACGGTGTTTCCCCAGGATTCATTTGCTGGCCACCGTGGGAAGGACACGTGGCGTGGCAACCCACGTTAAGTTGGCCCAAACCAGCAACGAATGAGATTGTCATTCTCCATTCAAGGGATGCCTTTTCTCTCTCTCTCTCTCTCCTATCCTTAAGTGGGCCTTAATGATAAAATAAATCGCTTTTGGCAAACCTCTAATGCTATCTTACCCCTCGAGGTTTTGAATTCGGGACCGTTGCTTCCTACCTCGGGGTTTTCTCCAAAAACCTCCCTCCATCCACGTAGTTTGGGGGTGAATTTAGAATTAGACACCGGGCAGAAAGAGGCGACTCCCGTCATACAATCGGCTTTCTCTCCAGGATTACGGCTGCGCGACAACCAAATGCGCGTTGCTATTTTTTAAAAAAAATAAATAAATCTCAGAGCTTTGCAGAAAGTACCTACTTACTTTGGCTTTAGAGAGGCCCGTGTTTTCGAATCAAAATATTGCAATAGCAATATGTGGGATTCTCAACCGCAATATTGCACTTGTAAATTTGATTTTTTGTTTTTTTGTTTGTTTTTTTAACTGAAACCAAGGCTGGTAGGATACAGGAATCAGAGGTGGCTGTGCTTGCCAGCTGTTGCATGGATTCCACGTAGCTGCCTGTTAAAAAAATTGACTTTTGCTCTCCTGTGGGCTCAGGTGGTTGGTTGGTTGGTTTGTTTTAAAATGGGCTGCTACAGTTTAGGGAATCCTCGACTTACAACCACTGATTGTTACTACGGCACCAGAGCGATGTCGCAGGCATGGAAGCTAACATTCAATTTCCAGAATGTTTTTTTTTTTTTTTAAATGATGCTGTTGGGTTATGAAGTTTTTAGACCAGTGGTGGGATTCAATTTTTTTTTACTACTGGTTCTGTGAGCATGGCTTGATGGGCGTGGCTTGTGGGTGAGGGAGGGGAAGGATACTGCAAAGTCCCCCTTCCCTCCCCACCCCACTAACCTGCTTTCCAGCTCCCTTCTCCTGTGCAGGGCAACCAAAGAACAGCTAGCCGATCAGCTGGGACTCACTGGGAGGCAGAGAAGAGATGGGGTTGGCAGGGCCAGTCAGAGGTGGGATTGGCCGGGTCTCCTAACTACTCAAAATTTCCACTACTGGTTCTCCAGAACTGGTCAGAACCGGCTGAAGACCACCTCTATTTTAGACTATGAAACAGAGCAGGGATCCTTTCTGCATCAGAAGATATCTCCTCCTCCTCCTCCTCTTTTTGCTCCTCCTCCTCCTCCTCCTCCTCCTCCTCCAGCAATATAGTGCTGTCCGCTTAGTTGGTATTCCAAACTTGAAAACCCCATCCAAATACATTGTGCTCACTTTCAATTTGTTTTTATTATAATAATTGATCAGAAGCAAAAAAATTGAGAATACATTCCCTTTGACTCGATCTACAGAGCAAACAGCCTAATTTGGATTGACATAACCATTATCCTGAGAAGTACTACAGGCCTTTCCATAGATCTGTGCTATGATTAGCAGCCTTTCTGGATAGGAGTTCCTGGGTAGAGTAGCACTCACTTTCAACTGAAGTGAAGAGAAGAGGGAAGGCGGAAAAGTCTTCTCTTTGGGAATCGCTGTAGTAAGACCATAGTAGCAAGCGATGGCTATTGACTCTTCCACTGTAAACGTTACTGCACCATGCATGGGTGGAAGATTTTTCCAAACACAAAAGAGTTCAAGCTTAGTGCCCCAGCCTATGCACAGTGTTCTCAACTAAAGGTTTGCACCTGAGCAGAGCTAGAAAAGATTCAGTGGCATTCAAAGAAAGTTAGCTCTGAGGGAATCTTTGGTGCTGTCCGAGTTTGCTTGTTTTTCTGCAGACATTTCATGACCCAAGTAGGTAACATCATCAGTGCAACAAGGCAGTGGGGTTTTCAGATTCATGGAAAAGAGAAGGAGGGCAAGAAGGACTGAGGATTGTGGGGTCCTTGGTGCTTTCTGACCTTGGTTGTTTCCTTGCAGACGTTTCATGACCGAACTAGCTAACATCATCAGTGCGAGAAGAAAAAGGGGTTTGTGGGATGGAAGAGAAGAGGAGGAGAAGGAAGGGGATTGTGGGGTCCTTGGTGCTCTCTCTGAGCTTGGTTGTTTCCTTGCAGACGTTTCATGACCCAACTAGGTAACGCCATCCGTGCTAGTGGTTAGATTTTAAAAAGTTATCTTTCTTATGACTGTATGGAAATTAAACTAATTTTTCTTTAGAACTGGAGTTGTGGGGCTTCCTGGCCTGACTTCTGAAGGTTTTATCTTGACAGAAGAAATCAAATTCTAGGGATGTTGTGGGTCACATTGAAACACTTTCACCGTTTCACTCCTTAGCTTGCCCTGCAGCCTTAATTCTCCCCTTAAACCGTTAAGTCGCTTGTCGTTTTCTTCAATGTGGGTCTTCCTCTCATTTCCTTGAAGGGCCAGTTATTCGAGGCTTATGAAGAAGCAGGAAGTCAGAAGAAAAGAGCAAACGTGGTAAGTTTATTTTTTAAATAACGTTTAATAAAAAAAAAAAAAGCTTACACATTTATTTAATTGACTTATAGTCCCCAACCCGTCACATATAGTGGATTGCGGCCTGTTTGAAACCGAGCCGTGAGAGAAATGGGCAAGCGTGTGTGTGTCTGTGTGTGTGTATATTACCTGTATACACACACAGACACGCACACACACACATCTCCTCTTCCTCTTTTCCCTGCAACAACTGCAACCTGTGAGATGCCTTGGGCTGAGAGAGAATAAACTGTCCCAACATCACCCAGTTGACTCTTGCGCCCTAAGAGAAAGGCTAGAACTCACAGCCAACTTGTTTGTCGCCCAGAATTATAACCACTACACCAAACTACTACTTCATCTGAAATACTAGAATAGGATAGGATAGGATAGGATAGGATAGGATAGGATAGGATAGGATAGGATAGGATATTGGAAGGAATAGAAATAGAAATAGAAATAGAATAGAATAGAATAGAATAGAATAGAATAGAATAGAATAGAATAGAAT